CTTTACAGGAGAATTAACAGTGGACTTGTTAAATGATAAAGGAAGTTCATCATAAAAAAGGATGAATGCCTTCAAGACAGAAGATGCACAAAGAGGCACAGCTTTGTGAAGAGTCTTGGCATACGAGGGAAGGAAAAACAAATTATTTCAATCTCAAAATGAGATGTTTTCATAATTTGACAACATTGAATTGAGTGATCAGAAGTGGGCATTTGTGCAAACCTGAAAGCTGAACATAAGTCAGAAGAACTATTCAGACACAATCTTAATTTCTTTGAGTCTCATTTTTCTTGTGTACAAGTAAAGGTAATAAAATGCTGTGTTATCAACATCTATAGATGTTATGATGATAATAAGGAAGTATATAAAGATATGATAGCCAAATGTCGAAAGGCTCGAACTAATTCAGTTTCCCAAAATTTTAAAGACAGTCATAGGATATTGTGGTGGCTGTTAAGGAGTTTGATAAAGAAATGGTGATTTTTGTTATCAAATATTAGTCTCCAATTCTAGACCTACTACAATTAATGCCAGACCTGGAGCAGAATTAATTTACACTTTATCTAGTTTGTTTAAAATGCTGAGACTGTCAACTTCTCAGGTTTTTAAAGACAATCTATTGTATTAGTTAAGTTTTCACACAAGCCTGAGGTCTGTACAAATATGCAAGTAATCAAAAAAAAAATCTCATTTTTAACTGTAACCTAATTTTTCACTTTTCTAAATATTTATCTACACTGAGATACAGTGTAATGTAATGATAGTAACAGTCATTTATTGTGTTTTTATTGTGTTAAATTTTACTGGAAAAGAATTTAGAGATAAGGGAGACTTTATCTGGTGAACAGTTTGCAAACCAGAGAGACACAGTCTTCAATACAAAATTAAAGTGCATCTGCCAGAACAAAGAGAGATACTGATTTATATAGCAAAAATTCCCTCCCTGGGTTTCCACTCAGGTCCCCTATCAAATGAAGAATTCGAGCTTGTTCAGTCCTGATTAGTTCAACGTGTTATGCAAAAGAGGGATTCTGACTGGCTGAGCTCTAGCCAGTTAACACTTGACAGGTTATAGTCCATTGGTTAAGTTTAGGTGGCAGTAGTTGCCCAAAGACGTAAACAGGGATAGGTAGCTTGTGGAAGTCCCAAACAAGGTATGTTAGCAAAAGGCTAGTTAACAAATGGCTACTTGGCTCTAGTCTGGATTTAGATCAGTTAACCACATCAGGATCCATCCTGAAGGACTGGCTCTTTCAGTGTTCACAGTTATATTCTGCTTTGTGCCAACTGTGCTCTATGAACTATTAGTAAGTTTTTTGGAAACCTTACAAGGAGTATTTCTATCTTACTGAGGAGAAAATTGAATATCAGAAAGGTTAAATAACTGTGAAAGATTAAACATACCCATACATTCTTAGCATCTCCTTACTTTAAGAAGTAGAATCTATTTCCCTAATCCACTGACTCTCTGCTGACCTTATAACTTGCTTCAGCCAATAGGATGTGGTAAAATTGATATTGTGGATGTCCCAGGTCAGCAGACAGAAAGCCTAGGAGCTTCCACTCCTGCCCTCTTGGAATGCTGCTACCACCATAAGAAGAGAGCCAAGCCAACCAATGGCCAGTACTGACCACCAGACAGTGAAAGAGGTGGCCACACTCAAGTCACCAGGTGACTGCAGCCAATGATAGACCCCAGGAGAGACCATCAGAAGAACCACCCAGCTGAGCCCAGAAAAAGTTGTTGTCTCACCCAGCCCAAACTGATGACCTAGAGTCATGAGCCAGAATAAAATGGTGGTTGTTTTAACCCAAGACATTTTGGGGAAACAATAGATAACTGATAGAATAACATAGCACGTCATAAAAGTGACTGAACCCATTTTATTTCAAATTGTTTGGTCACAGTATACATATTTCCTTTAGACTACCCTACCACGTGGCTCATGGTACAAATGGCTATTAGTTGTTAATTAGTACCCTGAAGCTGCTTCTCCAAATTTTAGAAGACCGATCCCACAACAAAGATTCAAGCTAGTATTATTTGGGGCAGTCATAAGAATAATGTAGTTTAGTGAAAATAGTCATATACTAAACATCAGATATCTCAGTACGAGCCCATATTTGTAATAAAATAGTTCTGTGAAATTTGTAACTCCTTAGTGGTCTCTGAGCCTCCACAGTCCCATCTAAAATTGAAAAGACTGATTTGTGTGTGTGTGTGTGTGTGTGTTACTCTCAGGTTTTGACCACACTCATGCCTGGCTGCCCAGAGATCAGTCCTGGTCTCGATACTTCATTTGTTTTTTTTCCCTTCCAAACCTTCTTATTTTTTTCCCAGAGGACTGTTGAAAGAAACATGAACAATTGCGACTACCTCTCACTTTAGAAAGAAAATATGGAGGAGGACAAAATTTCAGTAGGAGGAGCAGCCTCTTCACAGGTGGAGGTAAGGACCTGGATGTGGTTTGTAGACTCTTTCTTCCTGCTCAAGACCTTATGGATCCAGCTTCCAGGTTTTAACTTAAAGTGAAGCCAAGAAGACAAATCAGAGGCTGATGCCTTGCTGTTTGGGTGACTTACGACTCTGATGTAAAGTGAGTAACTCCAACTTCTTGGTTTGAGTCACTTTCATAGCTTTTGCAGAATAAGAAGGGAAACACTCCCAATAGCCCCTTCAGAAGTCAAGAACTCGGTTGTACGTAGCAATGCCCAGTGTGTTTATATATACACCCTCCCATTAGCTTTCACTATTTCCCTGCCTCACTTCACATTTTTTTCCCACCTGACTTTTTTGGTATTATACTACTTAGTAAAATAGTAGTACATAGTATTTGCCTTGAGATCTAATTTTGGGGGTAGCCCAAGTGTCCAAGTTTGGGTATCCTCCCACAGGAGATTCTGATACAAAGACTTCTGTGCATTAGTTTATCTTGAAAATGATTATACAAAGAACAAGTGACAAAGTGGGGGACTGTATGGTAGGGAAGAGAGAAAAGCTAATAAAGTGTGTATAATGAATGGGATATCCCTGTGGATAACTAGGGCTTATTCTTGTCATGGAGCCTCAGAGAAGCCTTGTAAAATGTTTCTCAAAATTGTCCCAACAAGACTTCCATGTCCAGTCATGTTGGAGTAAAATGGAACAATCCTAACTTCCTGGCATAAACAACTAGAAAACTCAACAAAGACATAAAACAACTGTGTTTAGACATGGGACAACAGGCAGCAAAGAACTAGAATTCCTGAGAAACAGAAATAAACGAGGTTAGGTCCGTGAGCACCCTGGCGTTTTGTTTGACAATTCTGGATCACTGTTCAAGGAGGGAGATTCTGAGGAAGGCACAGTGGTCTTGCTGAGTTGAGGAGACACAATCTGAATTCAGGGAAATTAAGGTGGTGAGATGTTATAAAGCAGAGTTGCAGAAAGGAAAGATCTGTGCAGAAAAACAGAGCCCCAGATATCTGCATTGAGATCCCTTTGAGTCTCTTTGATCAATAATAGGCCACAGATGCAGAGGGTGAAAACTTTTCCCCCTCAGAAATTTTTTTTAAAGTTTATTTTTAAATAGTTTATTTTCATGTTCTTTGTAAAAACATCAATATTTAAACATTTCTGTTCCAAAACATAGAGAAATACTGCATAATTTACACCAAATAGGGCATTATGCCTTACAAGAAAGACATAAAATGTCCAAGGGATATTTAGAAAACTATAGTACCTAAAGCTTCAACATAAGAAATGTTGACCACATACTGTAAAATCATTTCAATAAATAACAGCTGGCATTCTTTTAAACAGTTAGGAAAATAGATGTGCACACACATTCCCCTACCCTGACAATGATGTCACTGTCTATTTGCTTGGACCCCCCAGCCTCTATACCAGGACCTGGCATGCTGTGAGCTCCGTAGAAATATTAATACAATGACCAGAGAACACTTGAAAACCTTTTACCTTCAAATTAAATAAGAATCAGAATTGAACTAACTTGGGCTTGACATAAAAATAAACAATAAATATATTGGTACAGTGTGCAAATAGATTCAATCACAACCTTAATTATTATACATGTAAAATATTAACACAGAATCTTTGAAAACAAGCAAATAAACAGGCAAATAAATAAATAAATAGAAACTCTCCGAATAGATGCTGAAACACACTAAGCCGCATCCAGGTGACCTCAGAAGCTATTTCTCTTTTTCTTCTTTTATTCCTGTAGAGGCAGGGTCTGCTTCAGAAACAGCCACTGATGAGCTGCTTCTTTCCTGCTCGTCAGTTGGAGTTGTCACTGTAATGAGAAAATGGTTGTCCTTAGTAGGTGCTCAGGAAAGCCGATGCACAGCACTCCTCTCCTGTCCTGCCCCTAGGCTCCAGAGTTTCACCAGCCTCGCACCCAAACGCCTACTGCCTGTGATTCCTGTGCTTGTGGCAGAGACCTCTAGGCTCCTGGATCCTCTTACTTAAGAATGGGAATGGGGTGGGGTGCTGTGATCTCTACTGCAGTATTGGCTACAGACAGCCAGAACCTCATTGCTCTCTGTCTGTCACACTGGGCCTCACTTATGCCTCAGAGCAGCCTCATGAAGGAGCTACTTTTACTTTCCCCGTTTTAGAGTCTTGGATAAACTAAAACATTGTCCTGAGTCACATGGCTAATCGGTGGTGGAACCCACATTTGTACTCAGTGCAGTATCACTGCGAACTCCCTGCTCTTCACCACTGAACTGTAAGGCCCACGTTGCAAAAAAAAACCAAGAGGTCCGCTTTTCATCTGAAGCCTAGAAGGAACTGGGAGAGGGGCGGGGTAGGTGCAAAGATTTTCACATAACTGGCCAACACCACTGAGAATGTTAATGAAAGCAGGTTTACTTACATTCATTGGAATGGGGAAAGGGTGTGGGTGGGGATGGAGGACACTAGAAATATCCTGTCACCAAAGCAGATTAATGATCTTAATAGTAAACTTGATTGTGAAAATAATAATGACTTTTTTCAGTCATTCAGCTAAACCCTGGGTTTCTCTGATCTAATCTTCAGGGGACAGATGCCAGCATGTGTGACCAAGGACTCCAGTCACGTGTGTAGACAGAAACCATAACTCACTTGTTTAGCATCTTGTCGATCATTTTCTTAACCATGGGGGCTGTGGGGTTGAGACAGGCTTCCTGCCCATTCTTGAGAGTGGCTCTGCAGAGAGAAGGGAGGGTCCCCGTGAGGCAGGAGGTCGGGCAGGGGGTCGGGGTCGGGGACAGCAGGAGGGTCAGGGCGACTTGACTCTGGCGGGAGCAGCAGCACCGCGGGGCGGGACTCACATGACTTCGGTCTGGTCGCAGTAGGGTCCCGGGGACGTCACCTTCACACTTTGGATGTTCTTGAGGTGGACGCCCTGCAGGGCCTGGAAGCACTGGCAGCGCAGTTCACTGAGCACGGGCGCCGCTGTCGGGAGAAGAGACTCGGTTAGCGGGGCTGTCCCCAGATGGGCGCCCACCAGAGCCCTGACCCGCCGCTGGGATCCCAGGACGCCGGGTCCCACCTGTGGAGGGGCGGCCGGCGGCGACCAGGAGCAGGAGCAGCAGCGCCGCCCGGAGGAGCCGGGGAGCGCAGGAGGCAGCGGGGGTGGCGGCGCGGGCCATGGGGCTGGGCACGAGGTCGGGCGGCGGAGCCTGCAGGGAGAGCTGGCGGGGAGGTGGCTGCGGTGCGGGCGCTGTGGCTCCCCCACGTCGGCGAGCCCCTTTTATGCACGGTTAGGGCGGGAAAGGCCGGAGCCCCCGGGCCAGGGAAATTCCCGCAGCTCCAGGTCGTTCTCTGAGTCAGGAACGAGGGCGCCGGCCCCGCCCCTGGGTTCCGACCCGCCTCGCCTCCTGCGTTAAGTCCCGGGACACTGCGACTCGGGGACATTCGCTTTCTGTCCCAGACCCTTAGAGTGGCAGTTAGTCATTGGTGAAGGGCGCCGGCCCCGCCCCTGGGTCCCGACCCGCCTCGCCTCCTGCGTTAAGTCACGGGACACTGCGACTCGGGGACATTCGCTCTCTGCCCCAAACCCCTAGAGGTGGAGTTAGTCGCCGGCCGCGCTGTAGTTACCGCGTGCGACGGGGCACAGGGGCGCCGAGTGACCCCGTGCGCCGGGCAGAGACGAGGAAAAGAGCTGGGGGCTGAGCTGGGACACCTAGGACAGGGGCAGCGTGTCGTCTTTGGAGGAAGAGAGCTATGCCTCGGTTGTCTGACCTGGCTGGACTAAGTGCGGGGAGAGGGGAGATTTTGCTTAGCTGGTTATCCTCTGTATGTCCTCTCTGGGTCTCTGGCTCTGTAATTTTCGGTTTGGGATATTTCATATACATCTGAAATCAATGCTCTCCGTCAAAAATTGCGCGGTCATCTCGGATTCCAGAGAAGAATGTTCGGCTCGTTCCTCGTGCTGTATATTGTCCAATCACACGTAGAACATCATGTTTACGTTTTGCATTTGATTGGAACATGGGTCAGTGTCAAAATTGGAATCCAGTTGTCACTTCAGAGAGAGAGGGCTGTAGCATGACCTCTTCCTTCGTATTCCGTATAACTTCTTTTCCCTCTGAAATGTTGGAACTTCGAAAATTCCCTGGAGGTCTCCTTTTCCATGTATGAGGGGGGTTCAGATTTCATGGGAAATACGGCACTGGCGGTCCCTCCGAAGATGCGGAGGGACCACGTCGGGCAGGCTCCTGGTTCCCCTTTGCAGTGGGTCTTTGGACAGCACAGCGCATAGACACCAGGGCACGGTGCCAGCGCACCCTGCTTCTGAGCGCAAACGCATGCGTGCGGATGAAATGCGAAACGCCCCAGCGCACCTGAAATCACGGTCCATTCATCACAGGACTTTCTGGTATTCAGTGTTGGTACCCCTTCCTCTAGAAACATTGACATGTCTGTTTTCTGATCAGGAATTTCAGTCTTTTAACCCGACGCCTTCATCTTTTTTCCCCCAGAAATTTCAGAGAAACTTCGACTCATCGTTAGGTTTTAGACGGTTTAAATGTGTGATTCTCTAAACTGAGTTCAGACCTCTGGAAACGTGGAATATGACAGGAGGGGGCAGAGGAGAAAGGAACGGTCTCTGCTCCAGGGGCGAATGTCTCCAGGACAGGGCTCTACACAAACAGCTCAGCTCAACAGACAGAGCCGGTGCCCATAGCCCAGCACGGGCACGCAGCTCTGCCGCCTGCAGTTAGTTGAATGTATCGCCTGCTCTGTGCCTACCCCCAGGGTGGCTATGAGAATAGAGTCAAAATTTGTAAAGAGCCAACACGGATTAAGCGCCTTATAAATACTCGTTAAATTAAATAAAATGGAGATAGCTTTTTCCAACATTGCTTAATCAGAAGCTCAACCTGTCGTGAATCTCTCCATAAAAGGAAAAAAAAAAAAAAATCGAACGGAAACTTTCACTCCCCAATTGTTCTTTTCACGTTTAAACTTTATCTGTTACTGCCACCCACCTGTCCCTAACTGTATGCAACACCATATTGAGCAACGTGTGTCCTTAAGAAATCAAGGCAGGTCCAAAAAGGAAGAATGTTTGTATAAATACCACAATCTCAGTGTGTCCAAAATGCCTTTGTGGTTACTGGGGCTCAGGGGTACCTATGATGCCATTACAATAATCTTGGTCAGGAATGGAAAGGTGTGCTGGAATGTTGTGCTTCTTTAAAACAAACACTATAGATAGGATATGTGCTCCAGTCTTTTTCAATAATTAAGAAAATATCTCACATCTCCCTAATCACTTAAATTCCTTGACAGAAAGGATAGAAGAAAAGCATTGACTCAATGGAGGCCAAAATGTCTTCAGCAGTTTCAAGGTGTAATAAATGCTGTAAACTTTTAAATAAAAAAACGAAAATTTACAAAAAATTTAAAAATTAAAAAGTACAAAATAAAATTTTCTGTATCGGCTTTCAGAAAGGAAGGCATATCTATGCTAAAGGTACATTCAGATGGAATCTCTTTTTTATTTTTTTTACTGTTCAGGTGGATCATTAATTTATTTTGTAGTCCCACATTCAATCTCTTCATCTATAGAAAGGGAGTTTGAATAAAAGACACTTCATCTTATTTATTGAAAAAGATGTACAAAATGAATGACCATTTTAAAAAATACTCTAGTATTTATCAATATATTCCTATTATAAAAACCCTGGAAAATTAAAGGGAGATTAAAATTTGTATTAAGGAATAAGAAGTGAGAAATAATGTAAAGTTTATTAATATTAATGTGACCAGCCCAGGAATAATTGAGAGTTTGTGTGGTTATTCCTCTTACTATCACTCTTTTTCTGGGATTTGATGGCAAACTGGCCTAGAAATATGAAAGTGATTCTTTAAAATTTGAAATATGTGCTGTTTTGTTTTCTAATTGTAGTTGCAATACATGTTCATTTTATGAAGTTTATAAAACTGAGAAAGGCATGAAGAGATATTTTTTCTCTATTCTCTCAAGTTTTGTCTGTGGAACAGACTTTAACAAGTCACTGAAAAAAACTTTTTCCAGCAAACATAGTAGTTAAATTATGAGAGTTCACAGGATTCTGAGTAAATATGAAACATTCTGCTTCCTTTATTTAGTTGCCTCATATCATGAGTAAGTTGTTAAACCTCCACACCCACCCCAAGGTACAGAGCATTTACTTATGCTCTTCTAAGCCTTTTACAAATATTGTACTCATTCAGTCTTCCAAATAGCCCTAATAATAGATATTATTTTTATCTTTATAGATTTTTAAAGTTGCGAATAAAGAAACTGAGGTGCAGAGAGGTTAAGTAACTTCCCTAAGCTCATATGTCCTTGAGCCTGAAAATCAAATTTAAAGAAAATGGTTCTTAACCATAATGCTTTGACTTAAAAAAAAAAGAGAAAAAAGTTCTATGATAGTATGATAGATAATTAAAAATTTCTGGAGAGGAGTGATTTTTTAAAAATCTATTTGTGGGCTGACCCCGTGGCTCACTCGGGAGAGTGCCACGCTGGGAGCGCAGCGAGTGGTGCTCCCGCCGCGGGTTCGGATCCGCGGGTTCAGATCCTATATAGGGATGGCCGGTGCGCTCACTGGCTGAGCGCGGTGCAGGCGACACCAAGCCAAGGGTTGCAATCCCCTTACCGGTCACAAACAAACGAACAAAATCTGTTTGTTATTTCCCTAGTTGAATAGTTCAATTTACTTATTCTAAAATAAAGACAGTAAAATCACCAGACATCTCCATAGTTTTGTTTCACTAACAGCATAACTCTCTCCTGCAGTGCCATATAACTTATTATATCTTCTTAAAGTACTCAATTCTGAAAATAAAATACACTGGTAATTTTACCATTGGAAAAACCTGGCCAACTACCCCTTTACCAAATAATGAAGATTATCATCAGCATTGTGATGTCATGTGGATATCATGTACCCCCTGATATGTTGTCATGAAAAGGGCACTTCATCTTTCCGGTATTTTTTCCAAAAATTTATAACCCAAGTCTAATCACAAGAAAAACATTCTTCAAACCCAAATTAAGGATGTTAAATAGCTGAGTAGTGCTCTCCAAAACTGTCAAAGTCATGAAAAATAAGAAAGAACTGAGAAACTTTTACAGTCCAGAGGAAACTATAGAAAAATGACAACTAACTGCAGTGTGGGACATTGGACTGAATCCTGGAACCAAAATAGGACATTAATGGAAAAACTAGTGAAGTCCAAATAAAATCTGAAGTTTAGTTAAAAGTAATATGCCAATGTTGGTTTCTTAGCTTTGACAAAGGTACCATGATAATGTAAAATGTTCACAATAGGGGAAACTGGGTGAAGGGTACATAGACACGTGCAACTTTTGTACATTTAAAATTATTTCAAGATAAAATGTTTATTTTTTTTTAAAAGTTTCTCTTTTTAAATCAATTTGAAATACCAGCAAAATAAAATGAGTGGACATGTGTGCTTTACCTGCTAGCTTTCTAGAAAGGAAATTGAATTTTTGTTGAGCACTTATTCACTCAAATATGAAAATACAAAATATTTGCTGCTCCAATTTGAACATTTCATCATGTCTCTTAGGATTAAATAGTTTGCCTTCATCATTAATCATGCCATTCAAATCTCTCATCTATTTCTTGTAACTGAAGAAAAACAGAAAGCATTTCTGTAAGTGTCTCCAGACCCAACCCAAAACTGACGTGAATGAGAGTACCAAGGGAGAGTAGAACTCTAATTTAGCCATAGGAACTGACTGCCAAAAGAATGAAGGAAATGAAGCATGTCAAGAAACAGCCAACATTTGTAGATTATGCACAACTTGACTCCTGGGAAAACTGAATCAAAATCACTTATTTTTCATAGATGAGGGTAAAAAGGGTTTTTTGTTGTTGTTGTTGCTGTTGTAGTTATTTTCTACTTAATGCGCCACTTGAATCCATAAGATCTCCAAAATTCGAAATTTATAAGCACAGGAATACTATAGCCTAGTATAATAAATGAACTTATTCTCTTGTTTGAACAAGTGTTTCTCCAAGCCAATTATGTTTCAAGAATTGAATGCCAGATTTTTATGCAGACTTTAAACCCATGCAACCAACGATCCTTAAAGAAATGGAAGAATCTTTAAAAATGTAAACTTTGATGCTCAATGTAATCATTATGGAAACTTTCAGAGTTGACAAACAGTAAAATCCACAGTGCTTACAT